AATGTGAAGAATATCATTACAGTCGCACCCAGCAGTGAATAGGAATTAATAGCAACCAATTCCATTTTCATCAACCATTCTTTATTAACTATCGATAAAAATCCCTCCTGTTCCCTGAAATGCTTTCCATATTACCTTTACTGAGATGAAGTTACATTCAGCAGTGAACCCTGCAAAAAAACCAGTTTTAGGGAAACTATATATGAAATAGTGTAATTTAAAAAATAGTACTCATAATAATAGAGATAAAAGCCAAGAAAAAAATTTGTTAAACATCCCTAAAAATCTTCTTTCACTAATTTATAAATGACATTTACCTACTTTTAAAGTTCTGAAGGAAATGATCATTGATGAAACGTGATGTGTCAAGTCAATCCAACCCTTTTTTGTCTACAATTTGCTCGAATGAGGAATTTGGAATTGAAATTCATGAAAAAAACAGTCGAACAAAAATTTCTCCAAAAGTGAAGATGCATATGATAATACCATTACTTTTAACTGTTAGAATCTACTAATATTAAAAAAAAAAAAAAAAAGAAAAGAACCAAAAGACCAAAAAAAATATGATCACATTTCCTAGAATCTATTAATAAATTTATCACTGCTTTCACTGCATCCCATAAAGCAAGTAAACATCCAAATTCACAAAGATTAGTTGGAAAGTAATATAATAAAGAGCTCATAGATAAGAAAAGTAGTAAAAATTATGTAACGTTCCAAATTTTATTTTTCTCTTATGTAGGTCTTAAATTTTGTTAATGCAACTTTGATCGTTAGCAAATTAATTGGTCCATGCCTACATTGTCATTATAATAAAGTTCATTAATTAAAATGATAATACAATATATATGTATATATATTTTTTTAAAATAATTATTTCCTAATCATGCACTTTTCTTATTTTTTTTTCTAAATATTATGTGGGCCCAATAATTGGGTATAGTAGATATTAACAAAAATAAATGAATATGAGTCTCATTTTGTAGATCGTGTTAAATTACGTAAATCAAGTTTAAGAGAAATTTATTTTGAACGCATTTTATCAAGTTATTGTGGTCGAAACGAAATTTATGTAACCATTTAATATAATATTAATTATTATATTCCTTTGCATTGATTGGTTGGCATGTGTGAGATTTCACGTGGTAAATAAATAACCAATCTTGTCATTTTGTTTGCTTTGAATTCTATTAATGGTATACGTGTGTGTAAGTTATGAGATCGTGTGGTAGTTTTTTTCCAAATACTTGGCCATTTTCTTTTACCCACCACCAAGTATATTTATTTAACTTACATACACCGTTATTTCATACATACAAAGTTATAAACTCCATATACTTTGCTATTCTTCAAGTCAAGGGTAACAGGAGAATCCTTTTTCAAGTTTTTAACAAATTCAAATTTTTAAGGTAAGATACATAAGTGCAGTGATTAAAATTTTTATTCTCCATAATATCTATATTATGATTTCATTCAATGCCTTAATATTCCAAGAAATGATTTTTATGTTAAATTCTTTGGGATTGACCGTTAGGTCCAATTATGTTAAATCCTACGGGATGTGGGAATTTTAAAGAAATTCCTTGAACCATATGAATGTCGAGTATGAATGTTTTTCATTTATATTTATGTTATGTTGAATAGAAATTTGCACATATCTTACTGAGTATTTTACTGAATAGAAATACTTACTCTTACAAACAAATTTCAGATTAGAACGAGTCGTGCTAGACGCGTGGAAGATTGGACGAGTGGATGCTTCTGGGTTGCCAAGTAAAAAAAAATAATAATAATAATAATAATAATAATAATAATTTTTATTATATTCATGAATAGGCTTTTATTTTGACATGTTCATGTTTAGTATCTGCACTTTTATTCTGCAGTTTTGACATTCATGTTGGTGTATTTCATTTAAATTGATGTTGAATGATTTTAATTAAATTTAAATGTTAGTTGGTTACTCTTTTAAATTCATAGAGTCGATTTATCAAATTTTCTTTAAAGTTTTAAAAGTAGATTTTATCTCTTCAAAAATAAAAAACTTGGTAACACTCCTTTTGTTTTAAAAAAAAAAAATAAACAAAAAAAGGGGACGTTACAAATTAAGTTTTTAATAAGGAATTGAAGAGCAAGAAATAGGTAAGTGGAGAACAAATCTACCTTTGGAAACATAGTAAGAGAATATAACTGGTGGCATCAAGTCAGAAAGTCTTTCAAATATGTATAAATGAGATCAACTGAATAAAGAAAGATGGAAAAACGTTTTTAAGAATTAAGGGGAGGAAATAAGAAATAAAAGCAAAAGAATATATGAGATATTTTTTAAAGATTTACGTACATAATTCTCATGATATGATAATATATCTTTACTATATTAAATTTCATCATCTACAAAGTAAATTATGATAACTGACAAGAAAAAAGTAAAATGAAACAACTTTTGACTTACGTGTGTATCAATGAAAAGAATTCTTTGTACACAACATTTGTAGTACATCTTTCGTGTAAATGGTCAGCATTTGTTAGTTTTAAGCATAGTTGTCAGATTCGGCCCGAACATTGACCCAGGTCAATGGGTTAATGGTTCAACCGGTGGGTCAATTCTTATCAAATATATTATTAAATATTTTCATTGAACAATAAAATTTTTCCATTTTCTACAAATAACTAAATTAGTCTCATATTATTTTGTTAACTAAATATCAATATGTATCCCCAAATAACACAAATTCTAAATCATATCTAATCAAATATGCATTTGAAACAATTAAAATAACAATCAATGATAAAAAAACAACTTTATCTAACAAAATTCAACAAAATAGATTCATATGTTATAAGAATATGCTTACAAAATCAAAACCGTAATTTAAAAGTCATTTGTGGATAAAGAACATGTGAACAAATTAAATTATTTGAGATAAATCAATATTTTCTTAATTAAGATGAGTTGGAGCACATCCATGCTGGGGTCTCGGACATAAATTCTTCAATTCCTTCGCCTTGTATAAATGACGGAGTCTCAGTCATACTAAAATCATCGTTTCCATTGTTTGTATCACTTCTATTTTCATTGCCGTTGCCAACATTTTCACAACAATCAAGATCAAGATCGTCAAAATGTAATTCATCTGGAAAAAGTTTTAAAATTCAATGTTACGTCATATATACTTTAATATAAATAAGAAACATTAGCATTAATCGAACAATTATCATCATTTTTGTCATTTTTTATAGTACATGCACCCAATTCACGACGAAATACCTCCAACTCATCATCTACCAAAGTTGGTGGCTCTTCCTCTAAAATCCAATTACCATAGATGCCAAACCTTTCAAAGTCGATGGGATCGTAATTTCAACTCTTGAAATAATTCCTAAATAAAGTATTTAATTCGTTTTATAAATAATCAAATATAATTCTAGTAGAGGAATGCAAAATCTTAAAATCAAATAAATCACAATAGGATGAAAACAATTATTTACACAATATTACTATTGTTGCATTTGTAAATTGTAGTGAACATTAACAAGACCATTAAGCTGTTGATGCTCGAGTTTATTTCTCTTTTTTAAATAAATGTGTTCAAACATACTCCAATTTCTCTCGCAGTCTGAAGAACCACATGTTTGACTTAATACTCGAATTGCAAGCGTTTGTCGGTTTGGTACACTACTACCATAACACATTCACCATTCATCTGTAAAAAAAAAAAAAAAATTAAATAAAATAGATGTACGTTATATAAACTAAAATTTGAGTTATATAATATAACAAAGTACATAACATGAGGATAAAATTTTACCAGGAGCCATTTTATGGTAATCAGCTACAGCAGATAAACGTCCAAAATCACCTTGTGCTTGCCTAAATTGTCTCATTTCACCCGTCAATTTACTTCTTAAATCGGGTTGACCATAATCATATCTCTCAATTACATCTAAAAGTCTTGAAATAATTTGTTTATGATTTCCCATATCAGGATTATTATATTGAAAAGAAGGGTTTAACCAATATCCAGCAGCATGAAGATTCTTACGCAATTGACTATACCATCGGTTCTGAATAATTTGCAAATAAGGAGCAATTCTATTTTTCCTTCTTTGAAATCTGCATGAATAGCTTCATACAAGTAGCCCATTGAAGGCTTTTCATCACTATCAACAATGCGTAGAACATGAACGAGGGGCTCAGTAAGTTGCACAATAGTAGCACACTATTTTCAAAACACTGGATCAAGTACATCATGAACAAATCTTTTTCCTTTACTTTCTTTGCATATGCTAATAATGTCCACTCTCGAAATGTCACAATTGCTCTTAATGGATCCTTTTGGACCAAAATGCTTTGTAGAGCAATAAAATTAATGGCAAAACGAGTGAGAAGCAGGTTAAAGTATTTCTTTTTCTCCAGTAAACTTCTTCATCAAATGCAATAGGTAGAAATGATTGTATATGTATTTTGTGATTTTTAATGCCTAAGATAGACATTACTGACTTCATCAAGCTTACCAATATCATGAAACATTAGATTAATGCAATGGGTTGCACATGGAGACAAAACTTCTTGTCCCAATAGCCTACCAGCGGCAACATAATTTGTAGCATTGTCTTTCACCATATGGACCACATATTCCGAACCTACAAATAACACAACATCTCAAAATAATTTGTATAACATGTCAACAATTTTTGATTCTTCTGAAGCATCTACAAATTTTTAGAATAATGCTCCTTTTGGACAATACACTTAAAAATTAATGAGAGCTCTTCTACATTGATCTGTCCAACCGTCTGCAATAATTGTACAATCTGTAGTCTTTCATGTTGAACGATAGCTTTCAACATAATTCTGCACCTCCTTGACATTTTTAGCCAACAAATAACCATGAAGACTATGAAAGTTTGGACCTTTATAGCCAAGGCCCATGCTAGCTATGACATCTATACTTTGTTGATAATACACAGAATTTACAGCATTGAAAGGAATACACGAATCAATCATCATCACCCAAATCTCTATGCATTTGCTCTTCTTGTTCTCGATAGTAAGAACTACGTGGGTTACATTCATCAAGAATTTCTTGAGTTTTACGCTTCTTTGCAGCAAAGATATCTAAGTTTTCTTTCATTTTGAATATAACATCAGGAGGTGCTTTCCGACATGAATCAACATCACTTTTTATTCCTGCTAAGTGTTGTTTCACTCGGTTGACACCACCTCCAGCGAAAGTCTTTCCACGATACAAGCAGACAAGTTTTTTTTTTATTCCATTATTACTAGCTTCTAATATCTCTTTACAATGACCCCATGCAATATCTATTTTTCCTCTAGCACGATTCTTTAGTAGAGATGAACAATGCAGTTTATTATTATCACCAGCAAACTGTACAAAGGAAAAAAACTATACATCATGCTTGTTCACCGTTGGAAAAATAATGAACATAGGCAACTCAGACAATTGATTATTAATATTAGGGAAATGTACATGAAGTTGAGGCTATTTCATAAGACTTGATATACCACATCAACTTCATGAAGTTGAGGCTATTTCAGGCCTAGATTGCAATAAGTGTTCATCGTGGTCCATAGAACTAAGGCAACACCGAATTTAATCCCTTGACAAGAAAGCAGCTTCCTTCATTCCCAAAAAAAAAAATATAAATGCAGATCAATGAAATATATACTCTACCTTAATGTGTACTTGTATTATGTATGTTTAACACGCACAAATACATTACAAATAAGCAATTTACCTGGGGTTTCTTGTCATCAAGCCTAACAAGTGATTTCAATTTTATTGTAGTGTACAGACCTCCAATCCAGTTAACCACAAAAAGAAAAGCCTATTTCGTTCTCACTGGGACCTCACCTTTAAGGCAATCCAATTACTGAATTACAATCTTAATTCTTTTTAGTTTTTTATAATAGATGCTGGCATGCTGCAATTACCCATCGCCACAACTAATGAACTAAACAATATAATAATTTTTTTATAGTAATCTATTTGAAGTTTTGAACAATAAAAACGGTTAACAGAAGAAGAACACATATGTATGATTTAGAAAATTTGCAAAGTATAAAATCAATTTTGGTCGAGTTTTTGTAGCAAAATACATCTGACAGACTAACCTGCTTTTCCAATTCCATCTCTTAAAACTCGAACTTGGATATTTGGATTTTTGGGAGTGGTTGAATTGCAAGAGATTGGAGACGTCGGCCGAGCTTATTGATTTTTCACGTATGAAGAACCCTTAATTTCTAAGACTTTGAGAAGAAATGGAATTGGGGAAACTGGGAAAGTGTAAAGGCAAAGAAATTGAGAAAATGTGAGTTACTTAAGACTTGATCGGGTTACAGAAAAGTTAGTAGATGGGTTTCATTAAAAATCGATGGTTTATCGGGTAGATGGCGGGCTTCTTCTTCAGTTTTAAATTCAATAAACTCAGACTGGACCTGGGTCCTGTTCAACGGTTTCCGGACTAAATCGACCGATCCGGTCTGGGTTTTATAACTATGGTTTTAAGTAGAACTTTGATAGATTTGTTTGTTTTTGCTCTTGATAATGCTACATAAAGCTGAACATGACAGAAAACTGGTTGGGGAAGATACAAACCAACAAAATCAAATGTTTGACCTTGTGCTTTGTTTATCATCATTACAAAGCGCGGCCTAATTGGAAATTGAATTCTTTTGAATTGAATTTTGATCACTTTTTAGATATATAAAAGGGATCCCCGACAAATAAATAAATAAATAAATCCACAATATTCACCAGTTGTGATTTCAACAACAATTACATTCTTTTCAAACTTTCAACAAGGCGTGTCCCGTTACATAACCCTTCTGAAGAATTGATATTTCGTAATAACATCACGTGACAGATCATCTTAAGTATCAATTTATGAGGTGGAATGCCATTTTAGGTTAAACTATTTAAAAAATCTTCTTGCAAGCTCTATCAATTGCTTCATTAAAACTATAGTATGTATAAATTTCACCAGGAATTTGTTCAAGTAAAATTTTGTTAATATGATCAACACATTCATTGTAGTTGTAAGAATGAGTCGATTTGCTATTGCGGGGGGATTATCAACATATACTTCTATATCTGAAAAGACATGATGTATCAAATTTTTTAGGATGAAATTTCATCTTCAAATGATAAAATTATGTCATCTCGAAGCTTAATGCATTTACTCTTTCTCCATTACATCTCCAATTCTTAGCAAATAACTATAGAAAGTGGGATCCAATTTAGCTCTTATATTTTCGGTTAATGGAAGATGCAAAAAGGAAGGCCATAAATCAAAGAAAACTAAGCTAACAATCATTATGTCGTATTTTTTCTCTTTTTGCACAATTGGTAGAATTTGTCAAAAATCGGTAATATTTCTAAGCATTTTATCCACAGCTTCTACAGCAGAATGATTGACCATCGGTGCTTCATCCCAAATGTTTAATCTAGAAATTTTCAACAAAGTTCCTAAAGCTAATTGCTTGCTAACAGAACAACTTATTTCACCAATTGTTTCCAAATGAATTTTAAATATTAAATGAGTTGTTCGACCACCAGGTAAAAGAGATGTGGATACTCCAGATGATGCTATTTTTAAAGCAATTAAATTTTGTGACCTTACAGAACTTAGGAATGCTTTATATAAGAAGGTTTTGCCCGTTTCACCTGGACCATCAACGAAAAAAGCACAATTTGATTCTAATTTCACTTTTTCCATGATTATATCATATGCAAACTGCTGTTCTTTATTTAATGTTGCTGCACAATCAAGTCCCCCTTCAATATCAAAATTAGTTGTTTCTTCAACAATTGTTCTCAACCTTTCAGTCTCATAAATATTTACATTGAATGATACCATTGCATAATCGTTTATGTTCTTAACTAATGATTCCAAAATAGAACTGATATCTTCTTAAGCTTGTAATTCAGCAACCTCTATAGATATATTTTCATGTACATAATCATCAATTATATAAACTTTAAACTTATCCTACAAGAGTTTTGGATGATTAGGATTACAAAGCGTTAAAAAGACGCCTCAAAGCAGTAAGCATCTCGTATAAGATATATATTTTTGACAATGATTATCTCCATCTAGCGAACCATGTAGAAGTGCTAGATCAAGATATGTAGGAGCCGTTACACCATTCAAATTTTGTAAAAGATCGAAACATTCTGATCCTGTAATATGATTAAGAAGAATACGAAGAAAATATCGTTCTCGTTCAGATGGGTTTGTTGTGTAACAATTCGTCTTATAACAACATGATTTTTTCTAGGAGTCCAAATGTTATTTGCATTCCGAACAAAATGTTTTGAAAAATCTCGATACAATAATGCACGAGCAAATTTATTAGTTTCATTCATTCTAAAAAAATTCAATTAACATAGTTTTCCTTGTACTTTCTTTTTGAATAATTGTAAATAAATCATCTTTATCGGCATACGTTAATTGTTGATGATCCTCAGTATGAAGCTGTAAAGAGTAAACAGATCAGACAAATCACAAAAAAAAATCCTCCACAAAGTTTCATGTGGAGATATCCATCTAGTATATTGATAAACTGAAATTTCATTAATTTGTTTGTTTGTTTCATTTGTATTTATACAAAAAATTAATACAATTATGACCTTTGTACACATTTTTGTAGGGATATTTAACAGTTTTGATAGAAGAACGTACTTCAACATTAATATGACAATCAAATTTACCACTTAAATAAGGATTTATGGTACGATCCAATGATTGTCTAACATTTCACCTTCAACTTTAAAAAAAATACCACTATAACGACGCCTATACAATGGCTATAAGTCATCACCAAAAATAGTACTATTACAATAATCTTTCAAATATTTATTTTACAACCTTTATTTGATTCCATATAGATATTTTTAGGATTTAGGTTTCCACAAGACCCATGCATATTGTGTTTAACAATAACAGAATGAAGACAAAAATATTTCTCTTTGTCAAGAATTTCACGAGAAACTATCTTATCAACATGTTCAGCACAATAAATTTTGTGACCAAATTTAAAATTTAATAATAGATGTGCATGAGGTTGTCTTCTTTTTTGGAATTCAATCATATATATGTAAGCAATAACAGGGCTTAGTAGTTTTTTTTTATATAAATCATTTTTCAACTCCTCTAATTTTGCTATAAAGATACGCACAATTAGATTAGGTCGATTTTGAACTTCATCATTGTGCTTTAGTTCTTGCTTAATTTCTGGCCAATTAGAATTACATGTCATAGTAAAAAATACATCTAGTTTTCTGTAATGTTGCACAATAGCCATTGCATACATATACCTCCTTAGCAAATTTCTAGAACCACATGTAAGATTGTGGTAGAACAAATTTTCTTCCAACTTTATACTCCCTTGTTTTTTCACTTTCAACACTATCTACAATGTCCTGATAAAGTTTAGCATGATTTTTTTTATTACGAAAATAATCTAGTATAGTAGTTTTAATCTTAATATACATATCTACAATATATTGTTGAAATAGTCTACTTGTATAAAGTAACACGAACGTACCATGGGATCTGATTTGTAATTTGTACAAATGGTATTCTTGACAAGAAACTTGAGATCGTTTCTTCGTTTCATTAAGCACTGCATCACATAAAAATAATACAATTTGAATATTCATATTCATTTGAAGTAGTAAAATTACAAAAGTAATTAAATTTACTAAAAAGTGCATCATATAACTTACATCATTTTTTTTTTTTAAGAATTTCAGTTGCAGAGTTCATTGTGCTAGGAAGAACGATAGGGTTGGGCAAATGTTGAGGTAAGAAGTGTGGGCATCTATACATGGTTGTTAAACTCGAACCGATAATTGACCCGAAAAAATCATTGGGTCACCGAGTCAATGGTTCAACTGGTGACTCGATGATTGAATCGGTGGGCTATTGTTAGATCGTAATTTTAATTAAAATATATTTTTGAACTAAAAAGAAAATTATTTTGCTAAATCTAAATATATATGTCTGATTCGCATTATGTAACCAAAGTTTACAAGTTTCCGAAATGGTCAAGGAAGTGAGATATAACCTTGGAAGCCATGTTTCGAATTATTGCCAATGCAAATAGAGTACAACTTTTACATTGTATTTTGGTTATCATTTCTCTAAATCTGAATATATATATTTTGCTAAAAAGAAGAGTAAAGACTGGTCATTCCAAAGCGGTTAAGGATCAAATACTCCTACTTGAATGCCAATGTTTGAGCCACTCCTTATCCAAATTGGAGAAAAAAATTTACATTATAATTGTTAACAACATTGAACCAGCTTAAAAGTAATTTAAACCTGTCCGAACCGATCGGTTCTTAAACAGCTCATCCGGTTCTTGTCGTGTACACTCGCTTATTTGTTCAATTAATGAACTTGAGCCGAACTACTATCCTATTCGACGGTTTCTGATCCGGTATATCTCTCAATACCTTCCTGCCAATCAGATTCTCCATATGGAAAGATCAAAGAATATTGTAAAGGATCATAACAATCATAGTAATAGTGAATTTTGTGTGATTCACCAAAATGACCATATATAGTAATATCACGAACACGTATATTTGCATTTTTATCATCTTCGACCCATACAACAGCTACTTGAGATGCTGTTGGAGCATTAAAAACTTTTTGATCAACTCTAAGATGTCCGATGGTGTTGCAAGTTAGGAATACTACTTAAAGATCTAAAGAATCTACTATATGGATTTACGGTTAGAATTTGCTTTAAAATAATCAAAATAGATTCAACAAAATTCTTTGAAATTTTCATACGATTTTGAAGCTTATTATGTGTATCATAAAAATATAACTGCATATAAGAAGATGTATTATTCTCTGACATAAGTTGATTTATATAATGATACACTTGTTCTTGCACCATGAATATATAAATACCTCTATATATTTTAAAAAGTTCTTTATCATACTTTACACCAAACGAAATGAATGCAAAATGATTATTATATACCCTTGCAATTTTTGTAAATTTCATACACATGTTCTTTAGAAGTACATAAAGCGTACATCTAAGTTGGTGATTTGAGCACAAAAAGCTTAACTTTTTCATCATATCAGCAAAATCCTTTACTTTCTTTGAAAATTTTATGTACACCACAATATTTATAATCGATACTTGTTGGTAATATATATGAAGTACTTGTTACATTCAATAGGTTTGAACTTTTTTCTAATTCAAGATTGAGACCATTAATTATTACTTGGTTTGACGTTGAAGCTTCAAAATCATGATGTGCTGTAAATTCGTACAATTCAACAAGACTTGAGCTATTCTCCCAAGATGGCATACGGTTATTTATCCTCTTTCGAAAATCAATGCACTCAATTTGTACTTGATTGTACCGATCTCTTTCTCTTCGATTATGTTGTTGACAAATAAAGGCATGATATGACTCGCTAATAGTTTGAGAGATAGCTTCAAGGTTCACTAAATCAACATGTCCATTAACAAATGGTTCAAAAATATTCATTCAACACTAACAATTACTATAGAATATTTGCACTCCAACTTCAACAATAGAATCTGAAAGTATTAGAAAGAAATAATTCTACATATGTTAAAACATATATGCAATAAAAATAAAATCCACATTACGCAACAATGACTAAAAATATATTTTAGAAAGAAAGGAAAAAGTGCGTTCATAAAATATACAAACAAAGCTCGAGAACCAGCAACTATTACAAATTTTACAAGTTACCATAAATAAATAATCAAAATAAACATGCTATATTAACATATGAACAAAAACCTAGACAGTTCAATTGGAAAAATTTACCTAATATAAAGTGCACTACTCTAGTCGTCAATTAGAACCACCGGAATACAATCTAACACCATACACATAAGAACAATAAATACAAATTAGAGTTTGCAATTTGCCAATAATAGTTGAATGATAAACACTATAATAAAAACTTTAGGAAAAAATACAAAACAAACTATAAACTAAAAATAGAACTCAACAAAATCTTAAAAAACAACAATAATAAATAAATAAATGAAAAAGAAATAACATACTTAAAGATAACACAGTTCAATTGATGTTTAAATTTTTAAAATTTTTACTTTGAGAATGATAACTTACAACCTTGAATAGAAATAAAAACAAATACAATATTAACGGAACCAATAAAGTCATATAGAATGATGAAAATTATAACAAATAAAGGAAAATTAGAACCAAAAGAAGAAAACACAAATAAAAGTATTGACAATAATTAATTACTTTCAATCGAGTTGACAAATTGCATCAAAACAAATGAATCGCAACGATTAACCCTCCAAATCTCAATACACATAATTACACCAACTAGATTAGCATCATACAACAAAATTAGATGCTTATCAATTTCAGTAATTTGTTTGAATTTTACCTTTGTTGTCCTTCTTGCAGCTTGGTTTTGTTTGATTTGTCCAGAAAGGAACTTGGAAAAAAGCAAGACAAACAGAAAAGGAGTGAATGTGAAGAGAGAGAAAGCAAAATGCCATTTAGCACCCGTTTGAGCCCCCATTGAAATGCATTTTTGGCCATTTTCAACGGTGGGGGGCCATATTGACAAAAGTGTTGGAATTTAATTAATTTTTGCTCACATTTACAGGTCCATGAAATTATAATCCCGACTTACCCTTCAAATTTATGAATGAAGGAATAGAAAGGTTATTTATGAAAATTGATTTTATAAATAGAAGGTGTTTTTGACAATAAAGAATTTCAATGTTTCACGTCTGACATAAAACTGTTAGTGGGTTATTTTTTTAAAATTATGTACTCTTTAAACGATCATACGATGTCGTTTCCAATCAAAAAAAATATCTATATCCTATTAAAGAACCAGATAATGAACAATATACGAACCGATTTCAATGTGAATTGGAGGGCAGAAAAATGAATAATAAATCCAACATTCACTCTTTTATAGTAAAGGCAATGAAATAATTTCTTGAAAGTTATCTCCTCAAATGCATGAACTTAATGATATACTTATTATTCATCTAATAACGTTTCAAATTTGAGTGGCAAACTCGACTTGTGAAAACGAAGCTCGTGAGCCGAGCAGATTGGCCTGTTTGGCGAGCCGCTCATGTAACACAAGCCATGAACTTGAGCCCGAGCCGCTTGTGGCTCGTGTAAATAGTGATCGAAACGGTCACTTATTTTAAAATGCAATAGTTTCGATCACTTTTATTAAGAAAATTCAGTGACCGTTTCGATCGCTGAATTATTATCTTTTTTTTTTCCCCCTCCTCTTCGATAAATGGTCCCAATTGCCCCAAAGATTTTTCATCAAGCCAACAACTCTCTCAACTCTCTTTCTCTCAATCTCTCTTGTGTTCAATTATCTACATTATAAAATATAGATTCATTTTTACAATTTAATCATCTTCAATTTCAATTCTCGCTTCTCACACTATAAATTCACAATTATAACTTCGTACTCTTTACTCAAGTTTTAATACTTACGTCTTAGTATATCATCTATTAATCTATACTACATCATCACAATTTACAAATTTAAATGGATCCACACTCATTTGTCGAAGGCTTGTTTGATTTCGAAGGCGAATCAATGTGACACTGCAAACTCAATATCAGAATCAATTTTTCGATCTAACTGAAGTGTCAATTCTTGAAGATATTCCACATTTGGGTGCCGAAGAAAGCAATAATCCAATTAATTTGGATGGCATCGATGTTCCCGAAGCCCAAGAGGAACAAGAGGAGGAACTTGAATTAAACATTCCTGATACTAGAGAAAAGCGAAAGGGAAAAAAAAAGTCAAAGTGTTGGGATCACTTCAAATTGATTTCGACGGACGAGTCGATGGAGTCTCAGAGTCCAAAACAGTATGTAAATACAGCCAACAACGATTGACATGGGAAAAAGGCATTGGTACCACCCAATTTAACCGTCACTATAAAGCGTGTGCGGTCAAATATGGTCTTCTTCAAGCCGGTCAAACACAACTGCAATTTGGTGGTCCAGACGTTGGTTCTACAACTTCATCCCTTACCGCGTGAATGTATTCGGAGGAGAATGCCCGAACGAGAATGGTGAAATTTGTTGCTAGTGCTGAGTTGTCTCTTGTAATAGCAGACAATCAATATTTTGTCCCATATATAAAAGAATATCTTCAACCGAGGTATGTTGGGTAAGTCGAAATACTTTTCGTTTAGAAACAATAGAATTTTTTTTCAAACAAAACAATAATTGATTTTGAAATTGCAAAAATATGGTGGTGTTATAACTTTAACTTTGGATATATGGGAGAGGATTAATAAAAGAGCTTATATAGCTGTAACTGCACACCACATAGACCCATTTTGGTGTATGCATAAAAAAATTATTGCTTTTAAAATTAGTGAATTTCCCCATAACGCTAATAATATATATAATGTGATTATGATTATTATTAAAGAATATCGTTATGAAAGTAAAATTCATTCTTTTACATTCGACAACGTTAGTGTTAATGAAGTAGTATTCGATAAATTGTGTAGGGTATTCAGCTTGATATCGGTGGCTATTTTTTTCATATTCGTTGTGTGTATCATATTTTAAATTTAATTGTGCAAGATGGTTTGAAATATATTAAAGGTAAAATACAAAGAATTAGAAATGCACTAATATATATCATGATCTCCCTTAGTAGAAAACAAGTATTTGAGGAATTTTGTACCGAATTTGGGGTGACAAACGCTAAAGCATTTGTTAGCGACATATGTTATAGATGGAACTCTACTTACTTATTATTAAAGTCATGCGAATATTTTGAATATTTAATAATTTAGTTTTATAATAATAGATATATTAGAAACGATGACGAAACTATTCTGAATGAATCTGATTGGCTTTTAGCTTTAAAAGTTAAAAAAATTTTGACAAGCTTTTATAACAGTACAAATATTTTGTCTGGAGTTTATTATTCCACTAACTGTATGGTGCTCAAACGTCTTTATATAATTGTAAGGGCATTTCATAAATACAAAAATGACCTCGATTTTAATACAATTATATACTTTATGGAATTGAAGTTAAGAAAATATTGAAAAGATTTACCTATGTTATTCCCTTTATTATGCATCATGGACCCCAATATAATTTATTAGGAACTAAATATATAATTGGTCAAATTTTAAGAGTTTTAATCACATATAGAAATTTAGAATAAACTTTATGTGAAATGTATGAATTAGATACATAACGAATGTGTACAAATATTAGTTGAGTACCCTCTACATCTACTCCTTACGTTGAAATGGAAGAAAATGACGTGAAATATTAAAATTATTTCAAGGCATTAACACGTATAGGTATGATACAAATGCAATAGGTTCATCTAGTATACTTTGTTACTGCATCTAATCAAACATTGGAGGAAAATGCAAATACATTACCTACTAAATTAATTGATTACTTTAATCATAATATGCCTACCAATAAAACAATTTAAAAAAGTTTCGAAGATGTTATTGAATTCTGGTGGAGGTACGAAATGATGATGGCCAGTAGTTTTCGCAATTGTAAAAAATTTATTGACACCTTCGTTTAGTATTGTAGCTTCGAAGTCTACTTTTAGTGCAAGTAAGGGGGTTCTATTCGAGATCAAGAGCCGACTAAAAGAAAATATTTTGGAAGTATTAATGTGTGAAGGATTGGAAGCATAAATATGCCGAAATTGCATGTCATCAGATAAGTGATATTTAATTACACTAATTTAATCAAAACTTATTATTTTATAATGCTGTTTTTAATTTTTTTTAAAAAATTGTACACATTATAAATGTTCGCATACAATTTTTAACTCCGCCTACTCAAAATTTAAGTAGTCGATTCCAAACTCGAATAAAGGAGGAGGGTTTATATTTTATCTATATTTTAAAAAGAAAAAAAATCATATCAATCAAATCTTTTGGCTTCGTTTATTTATTTTTTGTAAAAAAAAAACGTAAATTTCATTTGTTTTATTTATTTTTTTTGCATTTAAAAAAAATAAAAAAATAAAAAAGAAGTGAGCTCGCAAGCCCAAGCTCAACTCGGCCCACGAGCCATGACAAACGAGCTGAGCTCATAGATAAAAGGGCCAAGCCGACCCATTGCCGTCCCGACCCGAATCACATAATTATTTACTTATTATTATTTTTTTATCCACTTATTGGGGGAATCTGCTATTAGAAAACAAATTTAGCCCCCGTTTGGCCCCCATTTTGTACAAATGAAAATGAGTGAAATAGTATTTTTTTTAAAAAAAATGAGTGGTTGAAAGTGAAGGAAAGTTTTTGATTAACGTGTAATATTATTTTATAGAAGATTGTGTGGTTGAAAATATAAGAGAGAAAAATAGAATGTAATGTAATGAAAATTTTGTACAAATGAAAATGGGTGGAATTTTGTTTTTTTTTTAAATGAGTGGTTGAAAATGAAGGATTTTTTTTTATTTACGTGTAATATTATTTTATGAAAGATTGTGTGATTGGAAATATGAGAAAGAAAAATAAAAGGTAATGTAATGAAAATTAACGATGGCCAAACGGGGGCTTAAAGCGAGGTTTATGTAAGTATTGGAAAGAAAGGAAGTGTTTCTATATGGGGAATTTGGCCAAATGACCCAATTGGAGAATGAGTATGGGCAAATAGCCTTTGACCAACATTGAAATAGAATAAAAAAATTTAAAATATTTTAATTGGTAAAATGACAAAATTGTCCTTCAATTTATATCAAATTATTCACCCTACTTCTTTCATTTCACCTTATTCTTTCTTATTTACTTTCGCTGTGAAACCCTATCCCCCAAATTTGAATTTCAAACCCGTCTTTTTCACCTGAATTTTCACTATATTTCAATATTACAAAACTTTTTCTTTGATTCAAGTTTATCTTTATCCTCTCTTTGGTACAAGCTAGTACAACCAAAAAGGTAAATTTTTCTCCGATTTTTTTTTCTTTTTTGTTATTTTGAAATGTGATTTTGTGCTTCCATTGCTGTAGTTTTATAATGAAAATGTATAAAAATTGTTATTTTTTTTATGATTTCATAATTTATTTTTATATGTTGTTTAGTTTTAGTTGAGTTCTTTTTTTTTTTTTTTCTAATGTGGATTGATTTTTGATACATTTGGGGTTTTGAAGATGATAGGTTAAAAAAAATTCATTTATTAGCATTCTTATAAATCAAAATTGTGATATGTAAATGTGCTTGTTCTTTGATATGCCTTGAAACTTAAAAAGTTGCATGATGAGTAATTTGATTTCAGTAATTCGGTATTTTTAGTATAATTCTTCATATTATTCTTTACTGTAATTCCTATTTTATGTTACTCCCTTGTTGATTTCATAATTTTTTCATATTATGTTTTGCTATTTTTACTACAGTGCCCTTATTTGTAGATTGGAACTTGAACTACTAAATAATGTATATAAGTTGGCAATTTAAAAGGTTGTGCATCCCCTTGACTTTATTGAAACATTTTATTCTTTAGTTGCGTAAACATTGTATCATTACGCCTACATTGATTATTACTTGATTTGATTTTGATTTACCTGTTGTTCCAGGAAAGAGAACTAGCATTGAAATCGTTTAAAAGTAGAAACACACTAATTTTGGTTGTGACAGAAATGGCAGCTTGTGGCCTTGATATTCCCTATGTTGCTCACGTTATCAACAAAGCCACCAGCTGATTTGATAAGCCAATTAGGAGATATCCATTGGCTGATTTGATTTACATGTCGAGCTCCATATGGCGGTAAAAGTAGATGTGGTGTGGGCATTTTGGTGGTTGTGACTTTAGAAGTGATAACTCTTATACTCAGAATGGAGGAAGCACATATTAGTATAATGGTAGTGGTTAAAATAATGGCAATTATAGTGGTGGGGATGTGATTCCAGTGTAACTAGAGCTTAGGATTATCGTTTTACAGTACTCCTCAAAATTATTTCATTTCAATGTATATATATTTTTCACTCAAATTTGAGGATTTTGATGTTTTGGAGAATGTAAAAAAGTTGTAGACTACTTTTGAAAATGCGCATATCAATAGGATGACTTTATTCCAGGAGATGAATTTTTTCTATAAGATATGTTTGTCTTTTGTTAAATATTGGTGTGTATCTTTATTGTGTTATGTCTCAAGAAAAAGGCATGAGTGTTTCTGGACCTATAAACGTACATGAGAACGGCACAAGTGACATTGCATGAATTATAAACTTTCATTAAAACAATATAAGTGTCGTTGTTGGACTTATATAAGTATCTATGAGAATGGAACAAATGTTGTTACTAGCAAATGGGTTAACTTAGTTCAATACTCCATATTTTAACACCATCGTGTTCCCCTTATTTCCACTAGCAAGTTTCCCGAGAACGACACTTGTGCTGCTAGTGAGATGAAAAATTCTAAAAGAACGACACAAGTAACGTTACCAAAATATAAACTTCTGTTATTACTATAAGAATGATGCAACTTAGGGTATTCAATTCTAAAGATCGTCGCGTTGAAAACAAATGAAAATAAAGAAGAAATCAACAGAACGACTTAAGTGTCGTTACTGATAATAAAAAAGCACTTGTGTTGTTCTGTCTATGAATAAGAGTTTAAGCAGCCGCAACCCTTTCGTGCTTCGAGAAATAATAAGTTGAACTCATTTAACTTGTATGGTGGATATGACATTTAAAAAAATTGAGAGATATGCTCGTTACTCGTATTTTGTTGAAAATAATAGAATAACTCGTGCCTTCATCGACTTTGTATCAAATAATCTATGTCATTTCAATCGTTCTTTGTCACATAATCTACTTTTATTGCGTATTTTAGAGATCCAGTGCTTGAGGATGAAATGACATTGAGAACGACACAAGTGTCGTTTAGAGGATGAAAAGGTCATTGAGAACGGCACTTGTGTCGTTACTGAGTGAAAAGTTTTAGAAGAACGATACAAGTGCCGTTATTGAAATATAATTTTTTCATGAGAACGGCACAAGTGCCGTTACTATAAAGAAAACGACACTTGTGTCGTTTTGTCTATAAACATGAATATATGAAGTCATGATCCATTCATAACCCTAGAACCAATGAGTTGAACTCATTTCAATTACAAGATGGCCATGCCGTTTTACAAAATTTGAGAAATGTGGTCATTAATTATATTTGCTAACAAATCAATAAAATGACTTATGATTTCACCAACTCGATATTGTATAACCTATGTCAATTGAGAGATATGCTCATTACTTGTATTATGTTAAAAATAATAGAATTACTTGTGCTTTTGAACTCATTTTAATTGCAAGATGGACATGCCATGTACAAAGTTAGAGATGTGCTCATTAACTATATTTTTTAATGAATGTAGATAACAACTTGTGACTTCTCCAACTCGATATTGTATAATTTATATCAATTCTATCGTTATTTGTCACATGGTTAACATTTTTTTTTTTAAGTTAGGGGATCCAATGTTTGAGGTCGTTGTAGTGAAAAAGATGCAAAATATTGAAAAAATCATCGAAACGGCACAAGTGTCGTTAAACGTCACTTGAGTCGTTCTGTCTTTAAACACTAGTATGAACCGCTACAACCCTTTCGATCCCCAATAATCGATGATTTGAACTAATTTAAGTTGCAATATGGACACGTCGTGTACAAAGTTTGAGAGATGTGCTAATTAATTATATTTTCTAACAAATGTAGATAACGATTTGTGATTTCTCCAACTCTGTATCGTATAATTTACGTGAATTCTACCGTTATTTGTCACATGTTTAACATTTCTTACTTTATTAAGTTAGATGGTCCAATACTTGAGGTCGTTGTAGTGGAGAAGATGCAAAATATTGGAAAAATCATCAGAACGGCATAAGTGCCGTTAAACGTTACTTGTGTCGTTCTATTTTTAAACACTAATATAAGTCGCCATGACTCGTCCTATCCTCGATAATCGATGATTTGAACTCATTTCAGTTGCGAGATGAACATGCCGTGTACAAAGTTTGAGAGATGTCCTCATTAACTATATTTTCTAATGAATGTAGATAACGACTTATGATTTCTCCAACTCTAGATCGTATAATTTATGTCAATTCTACTGTTATTTGTCACATCGTGGTGGAAAAGATGTAAAATATCAGAAAAATCATCAGAACGACAAAAGTGTCGTTAAACGTCACTTGTGTCGTTCTGTCTATAAATATGAGTATACGTAGTCATGACCCATCCATGCCTCAAGAACCAATAAGTTAAACTAATTTTAGTTGAAAGATGGGCATCAAAAGTTGAGAAATATGCTCATTAATTATATTTTCTAACGAATCAATACAATAACTTATGATTTCACTAACTCGATATCGTATAACCTATGTCAATTCGATCATTTTTTTCACGTGATCAACCTTTATGACTTTCTTAAGTTAGAGGATCCAAAGTTTGAGGTCGTTACATTAGAAAATAAGCAAAATATTTGAGAAATCAATAGAACAGCACAAGAGCCGTTAATCGACACTTAAGTTGTTCTGTCTATAAACACAAGTATACGCTGTCACGACCCATCCATGCCTCAAGAACTAGTAAATTGAACTCATTTAAGTTAAAAGATGGGCGTTCCGTTTACAAAATTTGTGAGATCTACTCATTAATTATAGTTTTAACGAATCAATACAATGACTTGTGATTTCACCAACTCGATATCGTGTAATCTATGTCAATTTAACTATTCTCTTGTCACGTGATCAACCTTTCTGAATTTTTTAAGTTAGAGGATCTAAGGTTTGAGGTCGTTGCGTTGAAGAATAAGCAAAATATTTGGGAAATCATCAAAACGACACAAGAGCTGTTAAACGACACTCGTGTCGTTCTGTCTATAGATACAAGTATACGCAGCCATGACTCATCCATGCTTCGAAAACCAATAAATTGAACTCATTTAAGTTGAAAGATGGACGTTCCGTTTACAAAAGTAGTGAAATGTGCTTATTAACTATATTTTCTAACGAATTAATACAATGACTTATGATTTCACCAACTCAATATCATATAATCTATGTCAAATTAGCCATTCTTGTAACATGGTCAACCTTTCTATCTTTCTTAAGTTAGAGGATCCAGTGTTTGATGTCATTACGTTGGAAAATATGCAAATTATAGAGAAATCAACAGAACGGCACTAGGGCTGTTAAATGACACTTGTGTTGTTCTTTCTATAAACACTAGTATATGCAGTAATGACACATTCATGTACTGAGGACCAATAAGTTGAACTCATTTTAGTTGTAAGATGGACATCCGTGTACAAAAGTTGAGAGATGTGCTAAATAATTATATTTTCTAACGAATCACTAGTAATTTCACCAACTCGATATCTTATAATCTATATCAATTCAACGTCTTTTGTTACGTGGTCAACCTTTCTGACTTTCTTAAGTTTTAGGATCCAATGTTTGAGATTGTTGCGTTAGAAAATAAGCAAAATATTGAAGAATTCAACAAAATAGTAGAAGTGTCGTTACTGATAATGAAACGAAACTTGTGTCATTTTGTCTATATACGCGAATATAAACAACCACAGCTCGTCCGTACCCTCGATAATCAATGAGTTAAACTTATTTAAGTTGCAAGATAGACATGCCTCTTACAAAATTTAAGAGATATATTGCACATTTATTACTTTGATTACCTATTTATTATTATGTACATATTGTACTTGTACTTTCATCAACTCGATAACATATCAGACATATCGTTTCAATCGTTCTTTGTGACATGATCAACATTTATATGTTAAATGCATTAGATAGTCTATATTAGAGATATTTTCATTGAAAAATCAAATTACAATAGATAATGACTGTAGTGTCGTTTTTCATAGCAAAAAATGGTTGGAGTGCCGTTCTATCTATCAGATAACAGTTGGAGCACCATTATCTTCCAATAGCTACAGACAACACAAAAAACACCAACTAAAATGTTATTTCAATAAAAATGTACAATATACATGAAATTTCTAAAAATGTCTTTCTTTTTCTTTCAAATGTAATGAAATTTTTCAATGTAGATAGTATGCTTATCAAACTCTTGTTCAAATACTCAAAGGATACTCAAAATAGGTGAAGAATATAATAGATAAGAGAATTTTAGAGAAGCAAGTATGGTAGTTGAAGATGAGAAAATACGTAATTATGATTTAAAAACCTAAACTTGAATTTTGAAATTAATTGGATTGATATGAGTGTTTGAGTCTTTTCTTATGATGGGGATATTTTGACATTTGATATTGTTTATTTATTGTATTTTGTAATTGGAGGCAATTTGACCAAGAAAAAAAAACATTGAGATTCACATAATTAACAGAATACATTATTTGACTAGGCCTTTAATCAACTCCCCCTTTCTAATAAGTTCAGTTCAGGAAGGGACGTTAAAATATAAGTTCATGCGGGATATATAGTTCCCCTGACTAAGCCCCAATTGCCAATGTTTCCCAGGACTGAACTCCATTCTGGGCACTCAAGGTAACAGCCATGTTGGGTTCTCTTCTTCAAGTCAACAAGCCGCACAAGACTAGATTCGCTTCTAAATCTTCACGTAACATCCACAAAATTTCCCAGAAAGGTGATATTTTTTGTTATATTTTGGACTTTTAGTTTTGTAATTTGTTCGAATTACAAATTCTGAAATCTTATTCTGTTGTTTCTGTTAGACAAGAGTAAAATTTCAAAATCTGAGCGCAATGTTGCCAAAGGAGCCAAAGCTGCTCGCTTGGAGCGTAACAAACTGGTATATTTTTCTCCGATTAAGTTGATATTTATTTCCGGGTATAGTTGTATACATGTCTGTATTTGGCGTAGAATTTCTGGATTATTAGACCAGTATTACTTATTGAAATATATTGGATTTGGTTTTTGATTAAACCATTGTTAACCTGTAGATGAGGGAGCAGAAGAGAGCAGCGGTTTTGAAAGAGAAGAGGGCATCATCTGGAACAAAAAGTCCTCCCCGTGTTATTATAAGTGCCTTTTGTAGCCTCACAATGACTAATGTAATAAGCAAGAGAAAAGAAATTAAAAATTTATCTATTTCCGACTTGCAAATATCATTGTAGGTACTCTTTGGTCTTTCTGCTTCTGTGAACTTGGATGCAATTGAAGAAGATATTCTGGCATTGTTGTCTGGGGAGGGAAACAATACTGTTTTTCCAGCCGTTGCCTCTGTGGAGTACAAGCTGAGAGCCACGGTAGGCTCTTAAATAGTTAATTTACCTTGAGTGTAAAATTATGGTGGCAATTGTTTTGAGCCAGACCCTGTTTGGGATTTGATTTTAGAGCCCAACTTTTGATTCTCAAAAATGAAAAGTTCTTTAAGGTGTTTGGTAAATAATTATGAAAAAATACTTTGAGAAGCAGCTAAAGATTGCTTTTCAGATGATCTGATTATGCTTTTAGCTTCTCCAATTATCTATAATTAAAATATCAATTTTAATCCTAGTTAATTTAATTAATTCATTTTCTACCATATGGACCACGTGTTAATTTTATAAACTTTGATATTCAATAGATATTAATGTTTTCATTTTAAAATAATTATGGTGAATTTATGTTCTTAGAAAAATATTTTGAGCCAGACCCTGTTTGGGATTTACTTTTGATTCTCAAAAATGAAAAGTTCTTTAAGGTGTTTGGTAAATAATTATGAAAAAATACTTTGAGAAGCAGCTAAAGATTGCTTTTCAGATGATCTGATTATGCTTTTAGCTTCTCCAATTATCTATAATTAAAATATCAATTTTAATCCTAGTTAATTTAATTAATTCATTTTCTACCATATGGACCACGTGTTAATTTTATAAACTTTGATATTCAGTAGATATTAATGTTTTCATTTTAAAATAATTATGGTGAATTTATGTTCTTAGAAAAATATTTAATAATATTGCATATTGTTATAAGAGTAAAAATTAAATTTTACAATGCTATCAATAATAATAATTATACAGTATGACATTATAAATGAATTTTCAGTTCAGTAATAGTATATAAGCAAGTCTAAATCATTTTTATTTGCCAAACTTTGAAATGCTAAAATGAAACATAAGAGTAATTTTGAAACAAAAGTTTACCAAACCATTAACTTATTCTTCCTGTGGTCAATTATATTTACAGCACAATAAAAAGCTGATTTTGTTAAAAGCACGTCAATACCAAACCAAGCCTTAGTCTAGTTGCTTTCTTTTACCATCACTTTGTTTGTCCTTATACTAATTTTTAAAGTCTGCTTAATTGTTTTGAGTTAGTCCATTGGCTTTCTGTTTTATATGTTTGCTCGTCCTTTAATTAATTTAAATAGTCTGCCAGAATTGATGTTCTATGGATGTTTGGTGGCATTGAAATATGTATTAGCCTAGTGAATAGATGAAACATATTTTGGCAACTACATTTTGATGAGGGTTTCTGAGTTGGAATTTAGACGAAAATGAAGGTAAAGTTAAAGATTGTAATCTTTCCCACTTTAACTTGAAAGGAGGGTATTTTTTCAATGTTTTTGAATAATTTTGGAAGCATATTGTTAATTAAATTTGTTCTTAACTATTAGCTCGTTAGTTGTGGCTTTTAGTTTTAGATAAAAGCATGACATAAATGGGATACTTCATAATATCTATTTGTTGGAGAATCTAAGTAGTTGATTAACAATCTTTTGTTCTTCACAGAAGTTGGAACATAACTAACTCAAATGGTCTCCTATAGGTCTTGAAAGCACCTCATGGTGATTTATTGGCATGCATGGAAATGGCTAAGGTACTGTGCTTGTCTGTTGGAGTTTTACAGCTGTGTTTGCTTATGTATGGATCGTATAACTCTCATTAGAGTTCGTTGACATTTTTTGTAGGTTGCTGATTTGATTGGTTTTATAGCATCTCCCACCTCTTTACACGAAGACGGCAATGGTCATTTTATTGATTCATTTAGATCTCAATGCCTTTCCCTGTTCAGAACTCTTGGTCTACCAAGCACTGTGGTGCTGATCCGTGTAAGTATTTTCTCCATTGTCATTCTTTCAAGTTGCCAATTTTTATGTTTACTGAAAAGATATTAATGGACATATTGTAAAAATTTGTACATATCTTTAGGATCTACCCAACGATATAAAGAAGAAAAATAACTTGAAGAAGATGTGCACTTCTAGCATTGCTTCAGAATTTCCTGAGAACTGTGAGTTTTACCCGGCAGATACAAAGGATGAGTTGCATAAGGTAGTTTCATTACGCATACTTGATTAAAGCCTCTTAATTTGGGGTTTACTTGTAAAATTGAGTAATTTATTATTTGTCTTCCATTAAACATTTTCATCTTGAGATCACGGGATATAATTTTTTTCAAGCGTGTCTCTTCTTCTTTTATGTGTTCCAGTTTATGCAGCATTTCAAGGAGCAAAGGATTACTGTTCCTCATTGGCAAAACCAGCGGCCTTACCTTATGTCCCACAAGGTATAATTGACCATTGAACCAAATTCTTATTCAAGCTGGTAAATTACATACTTGTTTTACTAGATTGTACTTCTTTAGCCCCTTCCCTTCTTCTGAATATTTTTGTTTTTTTTTTTTTTTTTTTTTTTTTTCAATTGACAATCTTCATTGTTCTAAAATCTGTTTCTTTGTAAGTTGTCAGAACTCAGCATTGCTTAGCACTTCCTATCTTTCCTTTCATTTCAAAATCCATGATCTCTTCCCATTGTATGTTTGACGTGTAATGAAGGCTCGTTAAATGTATTGATATTTAACCAGTTGTAAATTGCGTGAAGCTCCTTGATATTGGGACCAAGTTATCTTGTGCCATGAAACTTGGCCCCATGAAATTGGGGCAATGGATAATAATACTCAATCAAGGATGAGAATTGTGACCAAGTTATCTTGTGCCTATGAAAATTGGGGCCCTAATTTTAGACTTTTTCTTACACTTGCTCTGAAACCTGAAAATCTACTCCAAATTCAAAAGTGAGTACTGACTACCTGTGGCCTGCCCAATGTGGCATCATATATTGCTGGCAAGATGATATCAGTTACTCTTAGGAAACTCTAAAAAGTTTTATGACTTGAAAGATAGTAATTACAGAATGATCACACTGGTTTCACACATGAAGAATTTTGCAATACAGGTTGATATTGTAGCTGATGAATGCAATTCAGGAAAATGTACCCTTCTCCTCACTGGTTATATACGTGCTCATGGCCTCTCAGTGAATCAGCTGGTAGCATCATTAGTTTTATTGATTTGTATCTAAGAAATCTGTTCAGAGTCTAAATGGTCTTGGATTAGGTTCATGTTGCTGGTGCAGGGGACTTCCAGTTGTCCAAAATTGAACTTCTTAGGGATCCGTGTCCTGTAAATGCAAGGAAAGGAGAGGACTACATGGAATCAGATGACACAAATGTACAGGTTGGCAAAGTCCCCAATATTGGCAAGATATATGTGTTTAAAATAAAGAAGTAATAGAAAAATGAATTACACTCAATGCCATTTACCCTGTATTTTGCAACATGTAATTTATTTGAAAGTTACTTTATGTTTAATTCACATGTCTCTGATACTCTTTAAGAAAACCTCAAGTATTGATGATAGAGATTCCTTCGCACACTTGCCAAAATTATGCATTTTTGGCATGAAAATTAGTGATTTTAATTTATTTTCTTACCATCCTGTTACTTTACATTTTCATTTCTTTGGGAAATTTTCATGTATGAGTGGGGCTTATTATTTCTAAATAAGACAACTAATTTGACATATTCAGTGTATCAGTAACTCTCCCAATTCTCTAATTCTTCTCTCTTCTCTTTCTCTTTCTCATTCTACATCACTTGGATGACGAACAATATGTGTTTGTATCTTTGTGCAATCACCTGATACAGTTTTAGTATGTTAATGAACATGGTTTCTCTCACCCCTAATAATCTCTGTGTTCTTATTGTGCGATTTTTGCTGAAAGAAATATAAAGGTCCAAATATTTGAACCGAAGTATGGTACAATGTTGAACATCTTTATGAAGCTTTTTTAGTTTCACCAAGAAGCTTTCTTTTCAAGCATGTTAAGCGAGGTTTTTTTTTTCCTATACGTAAACAAACTATTGAATCTGATTGATTTACCTAGATGGCTGTAGTTCTAGAAGTCCCTTTTAAATAACTGAGTTGGGAAAAGGAAATTGAATGTAGGTCTCTAACATATTAAAGTAAATAAGGACGTTCTCTTCTACTAAACATGAGATGATAAACTCTCTTTTGGGGCCCTTATTTCTTTGAGTGTTTCTTGCCTACTTTTCCACTAGTGTTATATATGTGTATGTATTCCCCCCCCCCCCCTCCCCCCTCAAATTTTCTTGTATGGAAGGGTGGAGGAAAAGACTGCTCTTTTCGCTGTACTTCTAAGTCTATAAACTACTTCGTTTAGAGCTTTTAATGTAGAGTCACATGTCTTTTCACATCTGGAAAGTTTGATTACTACCATCATGTAAACATTCCAGTATTATTGAGACTATCCTGTATACTTTACATGACAGCATTTTATTGTTCTTTTGTATATTAGTCATACTGTTTCTTTAAAATAATGCAGGTCATGCATTGCTTTACCCCAGTTCCGTTGAAGCAAGAGTCTTTACTTGTCGAAAATGCCCCTGATCCATTGGTGGGAGAACAGGTTAATAACATTTCATTTAGTTTTTATATTCAGCATCTAGACAATGAAACTGAGGCCTTGGTTAGTATTAGTACTCTGTAAAATTTTCAGATTTTATAACATGCAATTCAGGGCCTACTTTTTTAAGATTTTAGTTTGTTTCCTTCAAACTTATACCTCATGCGGCAAATCTGCTTTTCTTGGTCATTGGTAAATTACTTGTGTTATGTACACGATATGTTATGCCAGAATCCTTCTAACCATAGAGCTTATTATTCTCTCTTTCCATTCTAAGTTTGCTGAATTGTTCCAATTTGAAAAATTATATGAAGTTATTGATGGTAACAATTCTATCATCATTAGACATGGCCAACAGAAGCAGAAATGGCTGAAGCCGACCAAAACCACCAGGAGAGAAAACAGAAAAAGAAGAAACTTTCCTGGGGCACCTCTGACTACCAGGTGTGGTCCTCATCTCCATTTTTATAAAGTCTCTCTCTCTTTACATTCTTTGATCTGTCATCTGTGCTTTGTTATTTTGACACTGAGGTACCTGAAGGTAATATATCTTCACTGTAATTATTGTTCTCAAAATTTCGCAGGCTGCTTGGATTGTGGATGATTCTGATGCTGATGAAGTTTATATTAATGAGGATGAAGATGATGGTATGGTGCTGGACGATGTAGAGAGCGTTTTTCCTGTCCAGAAGCATGAGGACTTTGAGCTTGACGATGACCAGGGTTCCCTTTTTTTGAGAGAATCTGATGAAGAAACTGAAACTGATTCTATAGTTATGGTGAGTATTTGATACATATATATCCCACTCGATTAGCTCCAACTAGTAAGAAGCCGTTCCCGATCACTGATAATGCATTCTTGAAATAATGTGCCTTTCTATGATCAAAACCATATTAGCTGAAATAGCAGATTAGCATAGCATATTATATGACGGGCTACACAAAGGCTTGATTCCTTTTTTGTTTTGTATCCAAAACGAAAATGCTGAACTTTGTTGGTATAATATGCTGTTAACGAGAAGCTTCATTTAATCCATGAAGTATCCTCCACCGCCGTGTTAGCTAATTTTGTCCACTACTTGATTTTGTGGATTTTGGGCAATATTAAATTTTAATAGTTTGCTATTGTACACACCATTAGTATAGTGTATATTTTTATTCTGATATTGCATGTTACATCATATATATGTCATATATATCTAGAAAAACATAAATCAAGCAATTTTCTTAAATGATAGAGTTTACATGTTCTCTTAGAAGGAAGTATACTTTATAAACTTTTCTGAGACACTTTTTTTGTTCCTAATTGTGCTCCCATTAGTTACTTCTGTGTTCCGTGCGTAAAATGCTGATTTGTGTTGCAGGAAGGTGATAACTTAACAAAAGAACATATAGAGGAACAAATTCGAAAAATTAAAGAAGAACATGCTGAAGATGAGGGTACTTTTCTAATTTTTACATTGTTTTTGCAGCTCTAAAGCTATGGTTTGCTTGATAGGAGTTAATTTCAAACATACTCTGTTAAGTCACGTGGATGTATAAACTATATTGGAGATGCATCTATGGGGTGTGTGTGTGGCTTCGAAGAATATTTTGGTCCTTTGTATATTAGAGACGTGGATTTAACTTTATGAGTGTTGCGCGATCACGGTTATGCATTGTGATGCTTTGTTGAATAAAAGGAGTAGGATTAACCTTTTGTTTTAAGAAAAAATAGATTACCTTTTTCTGTTATCCCAGGATGAAGTGGGTAGTTGTGTTCCTTTAGGTTTTTTGAAATTTTAGTTTAGTATTTTTCTGCTGGGAGAGTTATTCTCTATCGTCAAGGTTGTTTTCTAATGCGTTTTTTTTTTTTTTTTAAATTACAATTCAGAATTTCCCGATGAAGTGGATACCCCATTGGATGTTCCTGCTCGAAAGAGATTTGCCAAGTACAGAGGTGTCAAATCTTTCAGAACATCTTCATGGGACCCCAAAGTATGTACTTGTGAACATGCTGAAGATGAGGGTACTTTTCTAATTTTTACATTGTTTTTGCAGCTCTAAAGCTATGGTTTGCTTGATAGGAGTTAATTTCAAACATACTCTGTTAAGTCACGTGGATGTATAAACTATATTGGAGATGCATCTATGGGGTGTGTGTGTGGCTTCGAAGAATATTTTGGTCCTTTGTATATTAGAGACGTGGATTTAACTTTATGAGTGTTGCGCGATCACGGTTATGCATTGTGATGCTTTGTTGAATAAAAGGAGTAGGATTAACCTTTTGTTTTAAGAAAAAATAGATTACCTTTTTCTGTTATCCCAGGATGAAGTGGGTAGTTGTGTTCCTTTAGGTTATTTGAAATTTTAGTTTAGTATTTTTCTGCTGGGAGAGTTATTCTCTATCGTCAAGGTTGTTTTCTAATGCGTTTTTTTTTTTTTTAAATTACAATTCAGAATTTCCCGATGAAGTGGATACCCCATTGGATGTTCCTGCTCGAAAGAGATTTGCCAAGTACAGAGGTGTCAAATCTTTCAGAACATCTTCATGGGACCCCAAAGTATGTACTTGTTTTTTACAAGGAACAGATTGAATGTTATTTGTGAACACTGGAACTGAACATCTTGTATATGATTTTCTAGGAATCTCTTCCTCAGGAATATGCTAGAATTTTTGCATTTGACAATTTTACAAGAACACAGAAGCATGTTCTTGCTAGAACACTCGATATGGAGCAAGATGCCAATGATTGTATACCTGTTGGCTCATATGCAAGAATTCATATCAAGGAAGTACCAAAAGGTGTTGCATCCAAGTTATGCATGTTGGCTAAGAAAATGCCGGTCATATCCTCTGGTCTTTTGCAGCATGAATCTAAAATTTCTGTCCTCCATTTCAGGTACCTATTCCTACATCTTCCATTCCCCCCTCCTTTTCTGTTAAGACTTTCTTATGGTTTTTGATACAATTTTATTTCGGTGTTTTGCAGCATCAGGAAGCATGACACATATGATGCTCCTATCAAAGCAAAAGAACTCCTCCTATTCCGTGTCGGTTTTTGCCAGTTCTTATCGAGGTTCTTTTCTTCCTACTGTCTTTTGTTTTTCTTTTACATGGCTCCTCGATTTTCACTCTCTGAACTGTCTTCTTTTTGATGATCAGGCCAATTTTTTCTTCAGATAATATCAATTCTGACAAGCACAAAATGGAGAGGTTTCTTCATGCTGGGCAATTTTCAGTAGCTTCAATTTACACTCCAATTTCTTTTCCTTCTCTTCCTCTAATTGCTTTGAAGAGTGAGGGAGAAGATTCCATCCCTACTGTTGCTGCTGTTGGTTCCTTGAAAAGTATAGATCCTGATAGGATTATCCTTAAGAAAATTATTTTATCTGGGTAAGAAACTATTTTTAGTAATGTTCTATGTTCTACACTTGCGTACTTAATTAATAGGGATCTTTTGAAGTTGTGTTTGCCTCCATTTTAGGCTGTATGCAAGGGTTGTGATCATGCTTCTGAATGTAGCTTTTGCATTCATTTATGCAAGTTTAGTTGGTGACACTATTAATTGAGGCTGCCCTCAGTCCTTGATTGTCATATTTAAAAAGCTTCAAGTTGGTAAATGTAGGGTCAAGTCATTCTCAACTAAAAGTAGGGGCAAATTATACTCAACTAAAATCATGCTCCATGCTTTGTTCTTCCAGCTTTTGGGATTGTGCATGACAAAAGTACAGAAAGAATTCTGATAGGTTACCAACTCACATATTTGTTGGAATATTATTATCTAATTTTACAACACAATTTGTATCTTGTGCAGTTATCCTGAACGTGTTTCTAAAAAGAAAGCAACTGTAAGATACATGTTTCATAATCCAGAGGACGTGAGATGGTTCAAGGCAAGTACTGCTAACACTTCAGTATGTTACTGTATTTAATTGAATAAATGCATTTGTAACGGTCTGACCATTTCTTTTTCTTCCCTTGGTGATCTTCTTATTGGTTGCAGCCGATTGAAGTTTGGACCAAGTGTGGACGCTGTGGTCGTATTAAAGAACCTATTGGGACACATGATTTGACATTCTATGAATATATATATATATATATATTTATATTTCTGTCATATTGAAATTATGATAATCGATCAAAGTCCACCTTTATCACGTTATTGGATAACAAGTTTTCTCCCCATCTTTTTTCAGGGGTAATGAAATGTGTTTTCAACGGGGTCCTTCAGCAGCACGACACAGTCTGCTTGAGTTTATACAAGCGCACATACCCGAAGTGGCCCCGATATTGGTTCCCACTTCCAAGTGCTTGGCTAAATTAGTCATGTATCGGAAGCAGACGGTTTCTGTGGAGCTCATTGTTGGAGAAATCGTGTTTACATGCCAAGGGGAATGAAGCTGTGGTTCAGATTTGATCATTAGTTTTTGAGTTTTCTGGCTTGTCCAAATGCAGGAGAAATCGTGTTTACATGCCAAGGGGAATGAAGCTGTGGTTCAGATTTGATCATTAGTTTTTGAGTTTTCTGGCTTGTCCAAATGCAGCTTGCAACACACTCATTTGGTTTCTTCAATTTGGGGGAAGCAAAAATTTTGTCTGTATAGTTTATGTTGATAAGCCGTTTAGCTTATGCTTGATATGCAGTTTAGACAGCACTGCATAGTAAAACGAACTAGATTTTTATTATGTTTCTTCTTTAATCACAATCGAATCTGGCATACCAAATGTATTTGTTTTTGTACAAGACAAGATTTCTGTTGTATGTGTGCCAATATTTGATTGTTAATTTGTTTTATGATAAAATCAATACAATATTCTTCTCTTTACATCTTGTGAAGAATTGTCTTGTGAAACAAAACTTTACTTTCCAGTCTTCATTTCATCATCATAATCATTATTATTATTATTATTATTATTATTATTATTATTATTATTATTATTATAATTTTATTTTATTTTATTTTTTTTGGGTATCAGAAAGAATATGAAATCTCTCTAAGAAATTGTTGCATCTTGTTTAGTAAATTTGACTGCACAACATTTGACACTACCTGACAGTAGATTGTCACTAGTTTCTTCATTCTATTGAAGTACTTGAGATAGTATCATGTATTGTAATGTGTAGTGTTTATTACTGTGTACTAAACATACTATTTCTACAGAAAATAACATAGCATAATCTTGAAAAGGGAAGTGTCTTGCTGATCATCATATAAAGCCCTTATCATCTTGAGTCTAATCAAGCTTTAAATAGGTGATAAAAGCTAAAGAGAAAACACAAATTTTACATGGCTGCGCTTAATGAAAAACAAACAATACATTATAACAAGAAAGAGAATAACATGAAGTTGCTGAGGTAGTAGAGATACTGCTCAAGAGCTCAGCAAGATTTATGAAAGCAATGCCTGCTTCCCTAGTACCATTGGACTAGGATCAATGGAAGCGAAAGCCAGAAGCTCCTTATTGTTTTCGAATGCTGCAACATATTTTTCATCTAGAATCACTAACGCTTCAATTCCATCCCCAGATCTCGTGTCCATTAGTGTGACACTATTGAGCAATAGGGATTCTGAATACGCAGGTACACAGTTGGATGCCCAGATTGGCCTTCCCCAGCCGAAGTCGATATCATATATTCCAAACTTACACCAACTGCTGAAACACAAAATTCCAGACTCTTTAGGAATCCTCTGTGAAGTTTTCTCAAGATTTTCATAGTAACCAGGACACCCTTTTTCGCTTTGCATATTCTTAACAAAGTCATCGTCAATTTCACTTATCGATTCCCTTATTTTGCTCACCAGGGTTCTCAAATCTGTCTCGTTTTCATTACTATTTTGTGCTGCTGCTATCCATAAGAAATTCCCAAAACAATTTTCAGAAAGGGGCGGCACGGTTTTTCTTCTCAAGTTCACCGCATGAGTCAGTAAAGATGTCGAAGATGAACCAGATTTTGCAGCCATGAAACATTTCCAGATGAATGCTGAAATAACTTCAACACGCGTGGGGGATTTGACCGCTGAGCTTGTAGATTTGGCCTTAAGTGTGGATACGGCCAAGGCATCAAAAGCATATCTTCTTGGAACGTACTTGGCTATTTTCAAGAAGTGCTTAATATCAGAAAATAAGTGCTTTTCGTCTGGCAGGCTATTTATCTGTGGAAAAATAGATTGTGCCATGTAATCAGGAAATATTTCTTGGCTAGACCCTTGTGCCATTAGGCCCCAATCTTTCAAAAATGTACAGAGTGTTATGCCATCTGCTACTTTGTGGGATACATTTATGGCAATCACTAGTCCACCACAATCGAAAACATTCACTTGTATCATTAAAACGTTCGATCCCTGTGCTTTTTCATCCCAACTAAACGCGAAAGGCAGGAAACTTTGAACCCGTTGAAGATCAGGTTGATCGAGAAAATTCGATAGACAACCTCTGACTTTAGCCACGACAAAAGGAACCCCTTCGTCGTTACAATCAACAGATAGACTGTCTGTGATTATTCCAGCAAACGGGTAGAAACGAGTTATACTCAAAGAAAGTGATCGTTTCAGAAGTAGTATTCTGTGAGAAATGAATTCAACATCTGCACTGAAATTAGGCTGATCTGCGGGGAAATACAGGAGAACTGGATAATAAACAGGAGGAATGATTTGATCTAACAGTGTAAGTTTGTAGGTTTTCAAGTGATGAGGTGTTTGTGAAGAGGGCTTGATGTTTTCTCTTGAAATTATCTCAACTTCCATTGTGATCAACTTCCAAGAAAGTATCAGCAGTAGATTCTTTAGGAGAAACTAATAACTTACAATTCTGGTAAACTTCTACTTTCTTATGAGAGACTTGCGTGCAGTACGCGGAGTTGCATGAGTAGCTAGTATCGGAAAAAATAAATGGCTAATGGGCTGCTTTCACATAATTTTGAATGGACCTGTTCGTTCATTTTGAAAGATCAGAATTGATTTGTGTTCTCCTCCTCGAGATTATTGAAATCAGTTATTTACTTGCCAAAATTGATGTTCGGATGAATGAGAAATTGAATCTCTAAGTTGATGCATTGGATGATGATTTCGTGTTGAAGGAGAACTGTGAGAAAGTTGTCTCATATAGGAAAATGATAAAGGTAACGACCATATATATGATTATAGTTTGGAAGGGTGTAATCATGTATAGTGTGGAGGTTATATCCACGTGCATGCACACGGGGTGCAAATCAATGCCGAACCAAACGAAGAAAAAATAGGCCAGTTAGGAGTGTCCATGTTCTGCATTCATTTCCTATATATTTTTTTATTTTCTTTCTTCCAAGTGGCTTTTTAACTCCTAAAACTTCCATTATTATTACCGGTTGAAGGAGAAATTTAACAGCCGAATTAATGATGGTGTTAAAGTTTATAACACATATAGCTCGCGGTCCATTATGCCTACTGTTGCGTGTTGTCACACCTGTCCTATCCACCTGGGCCAATGGCCCACTCATCCTGATCCACGTGGCATTCCTGTCGAGGTGGCACACATTGTCGAGGTGGGTTATATCCGAAGTGCTTCAAGCCGAGGTCCATCCACCGAGGCTCCTCGATCCAATGTACGCGAGTCTGTCGAAGTCCAACTACCGAGGCCCATGACTCGAAGCATGGAACCTGTTGAATGTAGCTGAGGTCCTCAAGTGGAAGTATTTGTCAAATGGTCGAAGCCCCGAAGCTGATGCACGAGCCTCTTAACCACAAGGAGCTTCCTCCACAGTCACTTCTCCCAAGAGATCGCCTGCTCAGAGGTCTTATTCGAATGACTGATGGAACGTTTGTCACAAGCATAAAGGTCAAGTCTTGTCGCTAGTATGGAGGACCTGCGCAAGCAATAAATGCGCTGTAAGCTAGCAAGTCAAGCCCCATACCTAAGAAAAGACGTTTGAACTAAAGAGATGAGGCCATGTGCCACTTCATCCAAGGGCTCCCATTTCATATGTATCACTATAAATACTTTCATTGTGTAATGTCAAAGGCTAATGCAAGAATCAATACTAAAGACTACATTTACTCAACTCTCTCTCATTTACTTGCAATACACAAATCGAGTTTATACACTTTTACATATACATTTACGAGCACCAGTTGGTAATTATTGTACAACATACCATAACCACGAGCAACCTTGTGGTAGAAGCTTACTGAAAAACATTTGGGCAACTCCCCTTGAAAAAGGATTTGTTCTTGAAAAAGAACAAGAGGAACCCCTATCACTTAGAGAAATCTAAGTTTGATAAAAGAAAAATGTGTTCTAACGAAGATACTCCCCCAAGGAGGGTAAGAGAAAGCACGAATGTGCCTCCCCAGCCTGCTGCCCCAGCAGCTCGGCCGAGGCTCCACCACCACCAAAGGAGAGGTGGGATGCATGTGACAGCACGACTATCAAGAGAAATGGCTACCATGGCAGCCAACATGAGGGATATAGCCAACCAAAACTTGGCCATGAGAGAGCTCATGGCCCAAATGCAAGACCAGGGAGGCTTCCCCATTCCTCCATATGCCCCCCACGGGCACTACCAGCAAGAGGACGAGGTCCAGAGTCATGGGCTACCTCGCCAGACTATGGCCGAGGTGAAAGCCCATTCGAGAGGGAAGTGGGAGTCGACATTTCCTCCAACTATGCATCTGGCCGACCCATCGAGGTCCAAATGAGCCATGATAACTTTCCACCTCCATATGAGCAAGACCCAAGACATAGGAGAACAGGAAATGTTTTTGACAGAATCAGCCCTGCCGAACCGAGGCCCAGTCAACAGCGGGCTCAGCAGCCTCGGACGAGGCCACAGCCTCCACCTCCGATGCCCCAGCAGCAGGAGAGAAGGCATGAAAATGCCCCCCGCGCTGTCCCGCCTAGAAGTAGGCCCCAGAGGAAGGAGGAAGAGGCTAGGAACCGGCCCGGACCCTCTTACAACAGCCAAGGTACGAGGCCGATGACTATGATTCTGATGAGCAGCAGAGGTCCTGTGACTTGGACGATGATGATGAGAACATGCCATTCTCAAGAGAACTAAGAAATGCCCAGGTCCCGAGCCACCATGTCATGCCAAAAATACCAAAGCATGATGGAAGAGGTGACCCAGAAAAGCACCTCAATGCTTACAAAACTCACATGAGTCTGAGGGGCGCCACCCCAGCCGTGAAGTGCAGAGCATTCCATTTAACCCTCAGTGGAGCGGCTGAAATCTGGTATAGTAGGCTACCACCTGGGAACATCCGAAGCTGGCCCGAGTTCAAGACTACCTTCTTGAAAAGGTTCGCAGTGAGCAAGGAAGGAGAGACCCCCATCCAGCGTCTCCAAGACATGAGACAGGCACATGGCGAGTCCTTAAAAAGCTTCCTATCCCGCTTCACCGACGAGATGACCTACTGCGTACAAGTCATCGACAGAGAAGCACTATCTGCATTGAGAGGAGGCTTGAACATGAACACCCTATTTTGGAGGGATGTGCAGAATCAAGACCCCACCAATCAATGAAGAATTGATTGAGTATAGGAATAGGGCAAGCAGAGGCCTCCCACCTCCTCAAAGACAGCGAGGTGGGGGTCCGACCTCCCACCTCATGGACTACCAGATGAACCAAGCCGGAAATGAGAACTCCGACCAAGCTCTGGCCACCACAACTCTGAACGCGGTTCCTACCTTGGCATATGAGGATGTCAACCCAACTGCTGACCCACATCAGATGGAGGCCCAGTAGGGACCCCGTAGAGGGAGAGGCCGAGGTTTTGCACCTAGAAATAGGTCCAATCCGAACCTCCCAGGATACTGTTTGCACCACAGGTCCTATGGGCACGACACCGCGGATTACAGAGACTATGCACACCGCTCCCAGCAGGAACCCGCCAGAGAAAGACATGACTCGCCCCAGGCGAACAGGCCCCCGCCCAGGCATGACAACCGACATGGGCGTGAGGCGGCCGCTCCTCGTCAAAGGGATGTATCCCCAAGGCGAAGAGAGCAAGACACAGAGAGGCCCAGGAAAGGGCGTAGACACCAAAGAAATAGGCAAGCTCAAGATGAAGCCCCTATCCACGAGATAGATACCATATTTGGAGGCCCTTATGTTAGCGGTGAAACACGAAACGTCAAAAGAAATTATGCTAGGGAGGCTAAGCACCCCCCTCTGACGAGTTACATTGTAGACAGTAGCTTTCGAAGAAACTAAGCACCACCCGTTGTCTTCACCCAGGAAGACGCCGAAGGAGTTCATTACCCCCCACTGCGATGCGCTGGTGGTGAGGGCTGTCATAGCCCGAAATGGGCTCAAACGAATGCTAGTCGACAATGGCAGCTCCATCAACATCCTATTCGGGTCCGCCTTTGACAAGATGATATTGGACCATCAGTTGATGCCCACCACCACTCCATTGTATGGATTTACCGGAGATAGCATCACTCCAAGGGGAAAGATAACACTGGCAGTGGAGATGGGAGAATCTCCTCAAACTACGATGAACTTCATAGAATTCCTCGTAGTTGACAGCCGGTCGGCTTACCACGGAGTCTTGGGCAGACTGGCCCTAAAGGAATTGGGAGCAGTCACCTCCATCCACCAAATTCCCAACAGAAAATGGGGTGGCAACGGTGAGAGGCGACCAGAGAGGCTCGAGAGAGTGCTATCTAAACTCCATTAAGAAGGTAGAGCCCCGAGACGTCCACGTGATCATGGCTGATGTGGTCATGGCGGATGTCCCAGGTGACGCTCCCACTGATCAAGAAGATGTTGATATGATTGACGCACCGCTTAATCAGGAGGTGCTGATCGTTGATGAGATCGACTCCCGCATAATGGAACATGAGCCTTAAGCATCCCCTGTAGAGGAACTTGAGAGCTTCTCAGCCGACCCCCGAGATCCGTCCAAGGTGTTGAAAGTAGTCAGAGGCCTATCCAACATTTTGAGAGAAAAGATTAAGGACTTCCTAGGCAAGAACTTTGACGTCTTTGCTTGGAGGCATGAGGACATGGTGGGCATAGACCCCAAGATCAGCTGCCACCACTTGAAAATTGATCATAATGTTGTCCCGCATAGACAAAAAAGGAGAGCCCTCAACCCAGAGAGGTATGAGGCCCTAAAGGAAGAGGTTCAGAAGCTCATCCAAAATGGCTTCATCAGGGAGGCCACCTATCCGAGGAGGGTCTCCAACCCGGTCTTGGTTAAGAAACACAATGGCAAATGGAGGGTATGCATTGACTTTACCAACCTCAATAGAGCTTGCCCGAAAGACAGCTTTTCGCTTCCAAGGATTGACCAATTGGTGGACTCTACGGCTGGGCACGAGTTGTTGAGCTTCATGGATGCATACTCCGGCTACAACCAAATCCCCATGCACCCGACCGATGAAGAGCACACCTCTTTCATCACGGACCGAGGCCTCTATTGCTATAGAATGATGCCCTTCGGGTTGAAAAACGCAGGAGCAACCTACCAAAGACTCGTGAACAAAATGTTTACCGACCTCATTGGTAAGACAATGGAGGTCTACGTGGATGACATGCTGGTGAAGAGCTTAGAAGCAGAGAACCACATAGCGCACCTCAACAACACCTTCCAAATCCTGAGAAGGTACAGGATGAGGCTCAACCCCTTGAAATGTGCCTTTGGGGTGGCTTCCGGCAAGTTCTTGGGGTACGTGGTCAACCAGCAAGGAATTGAAGCAAATCTCGAGAAGATTGAGGCTCTGTGCCAGATGAGGTCCCCTCAAAAGCCAAAGGAGGTGCAAAGCTTAACTGGACGAGTGGCAGCACTTAGTCGCTTCGTCTCCAAAGCAACTGACAAGTGCCTCCCATTTTTCAAAGTGCTCAAGGCTGGGAAGAAATTCCAATGGACTGAGGAATGTGAAGAGGCCTTCCAAGGACTGAAAAAGCATTTTGGGCAGGCCCCCCTCCTCTCCAAACCGAAGCCCGGTGACATCTTGCAACTATATCTTGCCGTCCCCAATGACGCCATCAGTTCGGTTCTGATTCGAGAAGAAGGGTCCACCCAACTTCCCGTCTACTATACGAGTAAAGCGCTCCTATCGCCGGAGACCCGATACCCTGATATGGAGAAGCTTGCTTTGGCCTTAATCACGGCCTCTAGGAAAT